CGACATCCGAGACGTTGGATCGAAGGCATTGGAAGAAGTCCAACTCAAAAGTCTGGACCTCGACTACCTCCTTAGCTGGCGAGGGGCTCAAGAGCTATGTCTTTACTTCATAGTGCAAGGTTGATGCATGCGCGAATCCCATCCAGCTAACAACATCCAAGTTTAACCATGTCTCATGTCTCAGGTCTCCAGGTATCCACTCGACCGTGAAGGCTTCACTGTCAATGAGTGCGTTCACAGTTGTTTCTACATCTTTCCGTCGTTCTGAAAAGAAGTGCTGCTTTCCATAGCTGATCGCAGCGGTTTGACCAAATGTAACAAGTGAACTCGCTATATCTTGCTATGGCTCAACACAAAGACCCACGAACCTGCAGGTGGTCGAGGACTTGTTCTATCCTACCAACACCGGGTGTGGGCACCTCTTCTTTGCTTCGCCACGGCCGGCCATCGGTGGCCCTGAAACAGCGGACCTACGGCCGTGTCGAAGCGGCTTGCCGGGGCGGTCCTGATATCTGCACCTTCCGAGGTTTGAAAGCACCTCCAGCTGTTCGGCTCGAAGCACCTGCGAACTGATCTGATTCTTCCAAGCAGACGCTGTGGGTGAAAGCCGCAGAAGAGTTTGCCAGTTTGCCAGCAAAAGCTTAACTGCCATGCAACTATTCAAGGATTGGGGATTGGATATTATGAGACAGCTTAGTTTGTTTCGAATCATGACTACTAGGACCTATATATATAACCAAGCGATGTCGCACCACTTGGTGATGCAAAAAAGGACATGGGCGACTTCAAGCAAGTCTGACCGTCGGACCGAGCATACGGCTCAAATGGATCCAGTGCCCCGTGGTGAAGAATGGAAGTGGAAAATGGTCATTGATGACAGTGCAATGACCTGGTCGTATTTTCTATGACCTGGTTATTCAATGTTATTCACAGGTATATGTCCTATATACTCCAAGTCATTGACATGGAAGTGGAAAACCACCACCTGTTTGGCAGGAGGATGATTCCTGGTCATCCGAAATCGAGGCCATGCCATCCACGTAACCATGATCATGATTATTCCAGCTGACAAATAGATCTATCCTAGACTATGTATGGTATGTTCGTCAACATTGACCATGGAGTGCATGGATATTCAGAATAGAGGCGCAACTTCACCATGTCAGATCGTGCCAACATACTGTCGCTGCAGAGATCACAGCTGAATCAACCACGTCAAAACCTCACAACGAACCTCGTCTCTTCCATCTGGTTCCGTGTCTCTGTGAGACGAAGTCCCCCGGTGTCTCGGAACCGCAGCCGCGGTCACCGCGGTCACCGGGGTCTCCGGAGACCCGCGGGTCGGTCCACCGGGTGGGCAGACGCCTCGTCCTCCAGGGGATCATCCCAGTCGTTGCACGCGCTGGGGTCCGCAGAGGCCTAGTGAGGCGAAACGATCACGATCGGGCCCAGACACCCGGTTCATGTCAACCCCCCTCCCCTCCCCCCCCAAAAAAGAACGGATTATGTAAAACCAATCGAAGGTTGGGGGGAGATGATGCTTTATTCATCAACCGTCGATCAATGATCTACATTCTGTGACACCTGGATCAAGTGGTTTTTTCCGGTTATCTTTTTTCTGGGTCCCTTGGCCTCGGTGCCACTGCAGTTCTGTGGCCCCGGCGCCCCGAGACGGTCGATCCCGGCGCCCACTGGTTTGGTGAAACACTGGTTTGGTCAAACCACCTGCAGACCAAACCACCTGGAGCCTCAGCCAGTCATGTGAAGTCGCTCCAACGATGCTGGACGTCGCCGGGAAAGTAAGGTGCAAGGTGCCATTTAGTGTTTTTAACCCCACCTCCGCCATGAAGAGCCGCGATTCCACGTAGGCCACCGTCACCTGCATCGGCGGGCCATCGCCTTCGCTTCGCCGGTCCATGAGGAGTTCTGAACATGTTGAGGGCTTTTTGAAGGTTATTTTCCGGCTTGAGGAGACACACCACAGAACCTCCTTTCTCAGCTTCTGTGGTTGCGAAAAACACCAAATGCCCAGAACTCACAGTAACTCTTAGTCCTCTTCAGGAGACACAGAAGTTCCACGACCTGAACTTGTTCATCTGCAAGTTCAGAGAAGCTTCATCCAATCCATGTCGCTTTCTTCTTCAGATCGCCAGCCGGACTCGAACCCGGACTCCGCACGGTGCCCACCGCGTCCCGGTCGAGTCGAAGGCGGTGAAATGGTCACTTCGTCTCCGCTCCGCTCCGTGTGTTTCTCCCAAATCTGGTCCAAGGGATTGAATGGTTCAGCTCGGGTTCACCATCAGTTCACCATCAGTTCGGGTTTGAGTGGTGAGATTGTTGGCAGTCTGAATGATTGTTTGACTGACTGGTGCGACGAAAGCAGGGAATTGAGGGTGGCTGGATCCAATAGAATCTCTATTGGGGGCGAAACGCCACCCTTATTCCCTACGAGTCGCACCAGTCAGTTGAATGGCTTTGGATCCCTTCACTTGTGTTTTGATTGGTAAAATCAACTGAAACAATGGTAGCAGTCTTCTCACCGTCCTTCTCCGACACCGGCGGAGTTCGAAACACGAAACGCGCTTTTCGGTGCAGCGGGATGTCGCACTGTGCCAAATTGGTGTTCGTTTCGCCTTCCATGGCGGAAGCCCGCTTTGAAGAACGAAGCGGATCGCTTTTCACGGCAGACACCCAAAAACCTGATCGGAACGGCTCCGAACGGCTCTGAACGCTCCCTCCAGCTCCAGTATTTGATGCTGGGATTGCTTAGATCATCTGGATCGAGTCCACTTCTTCGTTAATTTTTGAAAGACCCTTGTGCAAGCTTGTGCCCACAATGCAGGCTTGGACTTATCCAGGGAAAGTGGAAGTTCCATTTCCTTCAACTTACGGTGTCGGAGTGAGACAGCACAAAAAATAGAGCTGATTCGAATCAAGAATGATCTATAGTAATCTATAGTCAGATATATTATGATATATTATATTACAAATTTAGACCTCAAGCTAAGAGTTGGTCATGTGCGGCTTGTGCCACCTACAGCGTAAACAGTTTTATGATCTCAAGCAAAACTTCACCGCAAAGGCAGACCACAAAGACCACCGGCTACCGGCTTCAGTCGAAGCAGCTGCACTGGCCATCGCGCACCTGGTCGACGGAACGCGGGTTCCGCTGTAGAACGCGCTCGCGGGTTCCGCCTGGTCCAAGTGAGATGTTGGCACGGTACGGGTACGTGTGGTGTTCGATGCTTGCTCCTTTTTCGCCCGGTTTCTTCATGGAAAACATGTTCACACCCACTGATAGCCACATCTTAGAGATGAAGGTCCAAAACAGCTCCTTTTTCCAGGCGGGAAAAAAAGGTGCCGAACACCAGTGGTTTGGAGGATGTCTCAGGTCTATTGCAAAGTCGATCTTGGAGGCCCCGCAAAAACCATCGACTTTGACACAATCTTGCAGGATCCCTTTTTCTTGACATAGAAAACTCGCCAAACGCGGGCGAAAAGGGCGAAACGTTGCATTTTTGAGCTCGGCACATCCTTCTCCCACTCAATGGCTCACCCTGTCCGTCATCAGGCCCTCACAAGTCTACAAGTGCTGGGATCAGATGGGATCAGGTCTCTTCCCCCAGAACTCCGACGGTCTCCAGGGTGGGGTCATCGAGTGTGGCCACTGTTCAGGGCACCAAGTACTCTTCAGGCCCACGCACTGGTCCCCACATTGCTCAAAGAAAGGGTGATGTGCACCGTCCTCCATCAAGCGTTCACAGGTTCGCAACCAACTCACAATCTGAGAGAAAAACATGTTCAGAATCGAAGAAAAATGGTGTCCCTTCAAGTGATCACACGGTCTTTGGTCAAGCTATTCACATCCTTGTTCGACCTACTAGGCTCCCTAGAAGCATGGAACGAGCCATGTTCGCTCGATGAAGGAACACCTGCAGTTGGTGTGTCCAAGCTGACAGGAGCCAAGCCAGAGTTTGGGCTTCAGCCGACCCTGCAAAAGTGCAGAAATGTCTGCCAGAGCCCGGCACAGTCGCCGGACCAGGCAGGGTCTTGTTATGTACAAAGCTGTGCATGTGCTGATCTGCATCGTTCCTCGCTCTGTCGCTGCCCAAGAACTGCAAAACAGCAGAAAATGGCTCTAGCTTGAGTGCTTCTCGATGGTTTTACACAGTTCTACCCATCCCTACAGCGATAGGCGTGCCATAAGTCTCAACTCATCTCAAGTACACTATGCCAGCCATGTTCGTGCGTCTTTCCATGTGTGCCCGAACCCAGATGTACAGAACCCCACCGATCACCTCGGGCATCGGGGCATGGCCAGTGGTGTACAAAAGAACCACTCCTCCGGGTGGTCAACATGCGGAAGCGAAAAGCTCGACCTCGGAGCTACGACTAGCATCCAGTGGCTGTGACGAAACGAGCCGTCTACCCATGTCGTAGTGACCAGGGTCCACTAGCAAGCCTTAGATCTGCAATGATCTGCAGGTGTTTGTAACAATTCAGTGAGATGTGAAAACAGCAGCAGAGACCCAAGCAGCCATCGCTGCTGAACAGCAAACCTCTCACTCAGAACTCCCAAGTCCTGGCAACAGCGAATTGAACAGCACCAGCTGACAACTGGGAGTTGTGCGTGCATCACAAATACGTCAAGAGCTAGCGTGGATCCAACGTCCAAGAGCTAGCTCTCCCACAAGGGCGTTCGCCTACCGGGTATCTACCGGGTAGCTACAAGTTCATATATAGATGAGAATAGCTCAAGAATCGCGGCGTCTCAATCCCGGTCCTCAAACGGTCCGCTTTCCATTGAGACCCCTTTTTTCGCGTTCGACTCGAATGGATGGTGGCTTGTCTGGTCACCTCATCCTTCGAGTCACACCCACCATCACCATGGTGAAACCAGAAACTCGGACGACGGTGACGACTGAGACGAGACGAGTACAACTAACACTTCCACAACCGCAACGACCAATAACTACCACAGCTGCGACCCTCCCTGTGCCTCAAACCAGGACCTCCATGTTAGCCTCAGCACGTGCGAGCATGCGCATGTTTTGACTGCTGCGCAGGGCTGCTACCCGTGCGCTTGTGAGTTTCCCTCGAACATGGATGCTCTCCATGTTCCTCTTCTTGCACTTGGGCCTTGATGGGTCAAAAGTTCCGTCCGGTCAGTGAGCATGCTCATCCATGTTTAGGTTTTACACCATCTGCTCGTGTTTTTGTAAGTTTGGTCCCAATGACCCCTTCAAAAAATAATCAAACCATGTTTGGGTGATGATTCGTCTGTGGAGGGATCAGGGTTTCATCCAATGCACCTTCCAAAGATTGGTTCATTAGACTTCACAACTGGAATTTCCCCACCACACCGCGTGCCGCGGCGAGTCCTTCAAAACCAAGGCACCCAAAGTTGGGCGGCAAAGGCGTGAATATCTTCAGGCCCATGGGAGGCGGCCCTGAAAAAACGAGCGACCGATCTGGCGAGCACACAGCTGGGAAGAAAAATAGAACAGATCTGAGGATTTGCCTGGTTTTCGTATTGCTAAATATTTGTGCAGGACTTGTTCCGACAACAGTGGTGCCTTCTGGTCGCTAGAGTCACTAGACTTGTGGAGGATAGGCTGTAGACGGTCTTGCCAACAAATATGGGCGCAAGCTGGTTGCAAAGCGTGTCGAGGGAAGGTTGCATGATGCAAGCATCCCATTATAGAAGACAAAACGGCATATCGTCATCCATACCAAATATTCACTGAGGATATTGGTTCACAAACATCACCACACGGATATGAAGACCCATGGAAGATGTGAAAGCTCAAGTACCGATGGGCAAGTCGTCCATCACCGTTGAACTGGGGTTCAATCAAGCACTTGTGTCCACCAAAAGAAAAAGAAAAGCATGGACCTGGCGCCGGGTTCTTTTATTGGAAGATTCTCTGAATATTGCAATGTTTTTCCTCGGAACATGTTTTGAATGCGATATCAGTCTGATAGTCCCTTCAAGTCTGCCTCTTTTTTGGCTCACTCGTGAGTAAACTGGCATCCAAAGTCTTGCCTGATTGGTTGTTGCAAACTCGACTCCATGACCAACGCCAAAAACCTGCTTCAACCTTGCAAGAAAGCAAACTCCTAAGAATGCCTGTAAAAAATCCAAAACCCTCTGATCGTTGCGCACATTGCACCAAAAGAGGAAGCAACGCTAGCGGTCATGCATTACCTATTTTTGCGCGATCAATCTTTTCAGAGGTGATTGCTGGAGTTCGAACAAGAAGTCTTTCCCCCACCTGTCAGGTGATATAGCAGAAAGAATAGTGAATAGAATGTCAGAGTAGATGCCAGATAGAATGAAATCATGTTGGAATAGATACCAGGTAGAATGCCAGCAAGAGTGTCAAAATAGATTCCAAGTAGAATGCCTGAAAGAAAGTTGGAATAGATTCCATACAGAAGGTCAGGAACAATGTCAGAATAGATGCCAGCTAATCTGCCAGGAAAGATGTCAGAATACATGCCAGGTAGGACACCAGATAGAATGCCAGAAGGAATGTCGAAATAGGTGCCATGGCAAAACACATGCCCAACACATGTCAGAACCAACGTCGGACCATGTTGCAACAGCACATGCCAGTTTGGTGAGAGCACATGTCAGAAGCACATGCCAGAAGATAGGGCAGAACACGTGTCGAACTTGATGGCAGGACAAAAGTCAGAACACATGCCAACAAGGACGTCAGAACATATTCCAGAACATGTCCCAGCCTTTATTTATAATAGATGATGTGTGAGAACACGACATACCAGACTTGATGCCAGAATAAGTGTCAGAACAGTGTGTCAATGCACATGCCAGGCAACGTTTGTCAGGATCGTCTGTCAATACATGTGCTCTGCCTTCCTCAAGTCACCTCTCAGGGTTGGGATCACCCGAAGTGAAGTGATTAGACTAAAAGGCAGGCAGTGACACCACATTGTGCAGACAACATAGACAAGAACGGAATGGTCATTGAGTCATTGACCTACAAACGTTCATCCACCATCATGGGGTTCTTCATGATCCTTGGTTTTCATTATTCATGAGAGGCTTGCTGAAAAACAAAACAGGTACTATCCAACCCCACTGTGAAAAAGATAGAAGCAGTCCAAAACTGACGGGTTCATGTGTCTTTTGCCCTAGCCATTAGAAACCAAAAAACGAGATGATGATGTCGACTGTCTCTGGCCGAGCGCCTCTTTATCAGGGCGTCTAAAATGTGAGTGTTGGCTGACTTCTTGGGGTGATAATTGCCTGGGCGCGCATTTTTCCACGACCGGACGGTCCCAATTCAAAGGATCCATGGGTCGAGATGGGAACACTTCCGGGTTCAACACCCCCAAGTGGGTGCGATGCCTTCCCATTTCCATGGGTCTCCAGCGCACCTCGACCCTGCGATGCGTTAAAACATCTCGTCCAATCTCATTGAAAGGCTGTGAAACAATGTGTCTTGGCGTTCAGAACATCCAGGGAGAAAGACCCTCTGCCGGCGTGGAAGTCAGTGGAAGTCAGTCCATCTGATGTTAAGATCATTTGGTGTGGAAGTCAGTGGAAGAAAAGCAGCGTGGAAGTCCTCTAGATCTGGGGGTCATGTTTAGCTTCTTCGTTGTCTGAACTATACAGTAGATACGAGAGGAGAACTGGATGGTCAATGTGCTCTTCGATAAAGTGCTAAATTGAAATTACAGTGGTTTCAGAGTAGATGGCACAGACCCAAGATGAGGCCCATATGAATCACCTTTTGGGGATTGTGCCATCTACTCCGAAGCCACTGTAGAGTCCCACACTTTTACTGTGCCTTTTACTGCGGCGTGGCCGTGTTGATGCCACAGAGTCCGTCACAACGTGCCCCCAGCAGCATCCTGCAGCATCCTGCATCAACCCATCGGTCTCCCAAAAGGCTTTTCGTTGCATCACTCGATGGAAGGTGACAGACTACCGAAGCCGAAGCCCTCGAAGCCGTGAAAGCAGAGGCGTGGAAAGAAGCGGTGGAGCCGTGTCTTTGGAAAATCAACCATTTCTCCATTGATTCTTTGTTCTTGCTACAAACACCTCTTCTGTACCTTGGGAGCCCTGGCAGCTGAGTTTTTATAACACTTGGAAGATCACGGCCATGGGCATAGCCAGACTCACTTCTCTGGGAGCCTCCCATCCCTGGCCCAACCGAGTGTCCGTCGTCATCGCAGTTGATGCGCACTGATCTCTGTCCCTTCTTACAAAGGTCTGGAGGCCTTAAACGAGTTGGGAGATCACGGAAGTCGGCGATGTGCCAAGGAAGACGGTGATGGTGATGTGCCAAGGTCAACATCCCCAAAAACCACTGACACGGTCATCATCAAATGTTCGCGGTGTGAGAAAGCCCGATGGAACCCCCATCTGGTAGTGACCACAGCACCAGCGCAGGAGAATCCAAAAGCTTGTAAAAGACATTGGGACTTCACCCAGTCACCCAGTCCGCCTTTTTCACGGAAGGACTCTGGACCCTTGACACTTCCATGAGGCAGTAGGCCCCCACCACTTCCGGGTCCAATAAAGGTGCAACATGCTTCCTTCGTGTGTCACTGTTGTGTCCCTCAAAGACCAACCAAACTTGCAGGTATGGTTTAAAGACCTTGGGAATCCATCATCTGAAAAGAACAAAAACCATGAGACCCTTCGGTTTCTCCTGGGGAAACAACCCCGCCACCGCTCCGACCCGGCACCCGCGCGGGATCGCACCGCCGGTCGCGCCACGCGCGGTCGCCACGCGACGCGTCGAAGACCGAAGGATCTGCGACGTGGTCTTGCCAGGCCTGGCAGCCGCAACCAGAGGGGGGAGGTTCCACGAACAGCTTGAAGCTAAGATCGGATTCGATGATCTGACGCCACATGGTGTGGCGCCAGGTATCATCACACACTTTGTAGACTTCCAGAATCCGCACACAAGCGGGAGAACTTAGTGCGGCAAAACCCGGATACCTTGGTTGACCACCGAAAATGGTGCAGAGGTCTTCTTCAGTAAACCGGAAAAGTTCGATTTGCACGTATCCTGGCTGGTGTATCGACTGCACGTTTGGCCACTTGGGCTTTCACTTTTGGCAGTTCGTTTGCTTTTCATGTGGAATCTTCACATGTGTTAGGGTACTAGTCAGAATGCCATGTACACCTGTCGTGACCGCATCGACGCGTCGGGAAGAACAGAATGGACTATCAGAGAGGTCGACCTACCAGGGATTGGGGGGCTGGGTTTTGACCCACAGCCATATTCATTGGGTCCAAGATCGCGATCGGGAATTTGTTAAGTACACTCATGGACGTGGAAAAACAAACGCTGTTCATAGAGTAAGATGGTCTTCCCGCTGCCTAGTTTCCACTTCCATGTTAGTGACTTAGTGGGTCAGAGTGTAACAGTGTAACTCAATGTGCTGGAATTTTTGCAAAAAAAAATGATCATCGACTTAAATCACCCGTCGATCACCGCTGTGAACCAGTTCAGCTTTGTACAAAAGCCATACAAACCCAGTTCCAGCGGTTCTTCTTGAACTGCAGGAACATTACAGTTCCACCAAATTCCCTTCAGAGAGCTTCTGTCACTCAATTCTTAGGAGCGGAACCCAACTAATCCCTCCAAACACGGGTTCCGCACGACGATGTCGCCCCCCAATGCTCCACGGCCTCCGGGTCATAGAGTTGCAAGCCATTGAAGGGCTTCCACGCACGAACCAAGCGCTTGGAGACGGGGTCTGTCCACACATGATGAGCCCACAAGATAAAGTGGTCCAGCCTGATGAAGCCGATTGAGCACCCTTCGCCGGAGTCGCCCGGTCTTGGTCAACTGGGCACCAGAACCGGGGGACCCTAGTTGAAGAGAATAGAGTGGAGGTGAACTGATCCCGGGGCCCCGCAGAACACTTATTGGGGTGCCAAACCTGACCCCACAGGGGGCAGGACCGGGTACGGGCCCGAAAAAGGACAGGCGTTCATCGTCCACGAGAGTTGATCGAGAAACACCGTTGGACGACCGAGAAGCAGACCTGACAAATCCGAAGGCTCAAAAGCTCTGCCGCGATGATTGTATAAGTTTAACTAGTCTTTATGTCTTGGCCATCTCAAAAGCAGGTAGAGCACTCTAGCCTAGATTGAATTATATGGAATTCAAGGGGATCAGCCATGGCTGTTTCGGGCTTCAAGGTGTTCGCATTTCATAAATGACACTCTTCCCACCAAAAAAACACAAGACCTTGGAGCTCTCCCAAAAGTCTGCCACCAGATTAGAGTTTTGGTATGCTTGTCTTGTTTCTCATCTAAACACCCGCCGGGACCTGCATGGGTAGGCCGGAAGAGGCCGTGCACCATGCCCCGATTTCTTCTGCACCATCGCTCCCTGCCGAGTCAGGCGCTCCATGAGTTTGGACGCCTCACCAACACCATGATCTTGGATCCATTCCTCGGCTCGAACAGCTTTTTGGCGCTGTCAATGATCTTCGTAGAAGCACGAATCGTCGATGTGATACCGTACCTGTTGGTTGGGGGCCTGGGGGTATCCCCTCTATTAATCAACCAAAGGACATCTATGCTTGGCAGTTGAAAGCGGTCCAGCGAAGAGTTCCAAGCGATCGCGGTGGAGTCGATCGTGGAGAAGGAAGAGCTTTTGTGTTTGAGCGGATCGAGGAGCAGTGTCAATTGTGGTTCCAAGTCGTCAGACTCCTTGTGCTGTTTGTTAATTCTCTCTTGAGGAACCCCAGTGAACCTCAGCTGCACGACCAGCTTTGGGAACTTCCGCCAAAACTTGCACATAAAAGCATCGGATGACTTCTGGGTTTCTACATCTACCACCTGCAGCTGGTTGGGGCAAACAGCTTGCAAATGCCTCCAGATCAAAAATCACTTGCAGAAAGTCGTGCCAAAACAAATATCTTCGATTCCATTGCAGTTGACGCGTCTCAAATATCCTCTTCCTTGAATCAAAGACTTGCTTCTGCTCAGGATCCATGACGAGCCCTGAAATGCGCACCACGTCGCCGTTGCATCTGACCCAGCCTCCGACCCCGCACCCCGCGGTGGATCCGAGCCGCAGCGCCTATGCGTTCACGGCCCAAGTACTGTGCAGAGGCAAAGGTGTCCCAGTGCTGGACCTACGCTGCCGCAGCGCAGCGCACGAAAAACGAATTGGAGCAAGGTGGCATAGCAGTCCCCACAACATCCTACAAGGCGATGTCTTTCTTAGTCCCACCCAGGACGGGACTAGGATTCTGGCCGTGAAAACCGGGCGATGGCATAATGACCCGGGTAATTGCTTTCTAGTAATAGCAAGAAGCAAAAAATCTACGGGTTCCCGAGTCATATTTCACTTGTGTAATTCATAACAATAGCAGGGTATCCACGTTGACCTTCATCAGCTTTGAATTCCAAGACTGCACAGCCAACTTCCTCTTCAAGCAAGTCACAAAGGCTTTGCAGGGTGGATTGGTACAGTGGTTGCCCGAGGGGTTCGCGCAAATGCACTGCTTGACGCCCCACAGGTCCTCAGTTCAAGTCAGCGGGACAGGATAGCCTCCCTCCAACGAGCATGGAAGTGGATAGTAAAGTGGTCCTCGAAGCACCCATTGTCACATTGTCCACTTGATGTTTGTTGGAGAGAGGTGTCAGACTTGTCGGTATAGAGCTTGTACTGGCAGGAAGAAGAGTGTGTCGAACGACATGTGTTTCTAAAGATATACCGTGCATCCGAAGGCCATGCGCTTCATCCGTCATATCTTCATCAAACGCACGTGAACATACAACAGAAACCCTGCCGTTCTTCCGACCTCACTTCCCCCCCAAGATAAAGAGACTCCTGTGGACGAACAACAAGCAGAGAAAAGCATCATTCTGGATCCACATCTGTTCTTGCACGTGCAGGATGGTCGAAGTGATGTTCGGGAAGAGCGAGAACCTCAGCAGCAAATGGTCGAGTGCTCGAACCGCGCGTGGCCATGGTCATAGCATGGCGCTCTGCTCATCCAGTGCTTCTTGAGCAGGGGGTGCTTGGTATTCGACCCTGGGCTGCTCTGATGCAAAGGAAGATTGTTGGGCAGGTCATCCAAGGTCATCCAAGGCCATGCCATCCACTTCAGGAATATTCCAGGACAGTGTAATTAGATTAAACAAATCTGGAAGGAAGGGGACGATGCCAGGTCCAGCTTGGTCACCTCCCGCCAAATCCTGGGGCCCCCGGCAGCCCGCCATTGTGGATGGTATAATCTGCACGTTGTGCCTCCCGCTCGATGTCGTAGTACTTCACTAGGGCGTCCTGGGGTAGGCAGGATTCGACACCCATGTCTTCTCTGCTGGCAGTAAGCTTGGCAAGGTTTTATCCGTGGTTCTTTTCGCCTGTTCTGAAACAAGTTCACTGATTTACAGCGTTCCATTTAGGGAGAAACTTCTTTGGAGGGACATGTTCACCCTGCTCGGGGGGGCTGGTGTTTAGCCTGTGAGGAAAACCTGATGCAGTCGCCATACCCTAATGGACTCCTCGTCAGCCCGGGGAACCCATTCGGTGCATGTGTGTGTGTGGACCAAAGCAGAAATAGATACAGTAGAAAGAACATATCCAACTTCTTGAAACCAGGCCTCACCTCTCTATCTAGATATGTGCCCCATTGGGGAAGATCACCCCAACCACCGTTGTTTCAAAGGAAATACCAAACAAAACTCTCTTCTTGAGTACCTACCAGTGGGGGATCACACTGTTCTCGGCCACCAAGAACGTTGGTCGGAATCAACTCCTCCCGAAAGAACGTCAGATGATCAACGAACAACTTCTTGGGAGTCAGGTAATGAAACCTAGCCAGCGGGTAGGTCTTGTTTGGAACAGCATGCGGCCTTCCCTGCGGTCAGTCCTCACTGCGGTAGCACATAGGTTTCCTTAGAAAAGCTGCCATGACCGGAACAGGTGTGGCTTCTGTAGAAGCACTACTTGCTCATACTTGCTCTGCAAGTCTGTGAATCGGGATCCAAGTCTCGGCCAAGAAGCATCCACAAGATTCGGAAAGTGATCCATGTCGGTTTGCTTTGAGACATTTGGATACGAATGTATCAGGATTGAAGCGAGTTGTTTTGTTAGAGAACATGACAGTCCATGCAGTGCCTAGCTCATGGACGTCCATGGAATCTGGAAGTGGCACAAATCCCCAGTAGACTCCAAACCCATTCAATAAATGACCCATCGAAACCAAGGTCGGCCCAATGTTGTCGTCTTGTTTAGGTCGGCGTCATGCTTGGCGCCCACATCACCGCGTTGAAAAAACACGCGGGGCCAAGGAGCGTGGAGTCGTTCTGCGGAAAAAAAGCCAAAGCAGAAGGGATCGGTCTTCCATCCTGAGTCTGGCGCAGCGAGGACAAGCGAGGACTGCCAGGTTTACAAGAATTATGGTGTCGACGACAGGGAACCTGGACATCGATACTCTAAAACGGGTTCAATCCTCCATACAGGTGTTTTGTTGGCTATGTCTGGCGATCTCTCTCTAACCTGTAGCCAGCTATAGGTGAACACTCTGAAACAGAATCGGTCTCAACTTGTGCTCTTGAGATCGACCGGGCACTGGACATCGACACGCCCATCCATTTCTTCGGGGCACTGGAAATCGGTGCACAACCTCGAAGGCTTTTCACTTGCAGCCCACTACTCCGAAGTCAGAGGTGTGGATTGAAAGTATGTAATGGTACACGTCCAATCGATTTTATAAACAGAATGACCACTTTCGGGGTCTATCGCTCCAACACCTTTGACCATAACAAGAACACCGGCCCCATGTTCCGTTTCCACACTCGATGTATCTCGATGTCCCTGCCATCCTGCCAAAGCTCCGATCAGGGTGTCGGAATAGCCACCCTGTTTGCCATCCTTGCGCCTGATAGTGAACTGCTTCGGGTACAAGGGCTTCCTGACAGGGCACAAGATGAGAGCACCTGTCGAATGAGGGTTTCCTTGTGCGAATGGTACAGGTGCTCTCAGGTACACGGGGTATAATGAGGGCTTCCTGACAGGTGTTCTCATTCGCCAGATGTCAACGTACGCACGAGCACAAGTTTGCTAACGCGACGCACATCCACGTGAAGGTGACATGTTGTTTGTACTTATGATACCATTGTGCAGCGACTGCTAGAACTCGAGTCAAGAGTTGTAGATGGTTTGTGGCTTGTAAATATGGTCAGCAGTTCGGGTCTCTATCTGCAACCAGGGTTGGTATAGATTCTGGAGAGCCCAAGAATTGGACCCACACTCAAGGCATTATTGCCACGGACAAGTCAAGACAAATAATACCAAACGCACGATACGTCATACGACGTCCAAAAAAGCATCGTGCTCCCAAAATAGATACGACAGTGTTTCTTGTCATGTCGACTGCACTTGATAGTTCGATGGCAGTGCCGTCCGAGGCACTACGTTTGCATACTTAAATGTTTGGATCCTCAAAATGTCGTCCTGTCTATTTGGTCAAACTACAACACGGTGGAAAACTGAGGTGTTTCTACCCGAAACTATAGTTCTTTTCCAACATCCCACTATACCTGGAAAAAGACCAAGAAACAACCACCGTCCACCGTCTCGGCGTGTTCGCTTTGCTCTTGCTTCGCGGGGGCGACGGCTCCGCAAGCGCGAGCGAGGAGCGCCACCGTCTGGGGATCCACCTCACTGGCATTGGCCACGACCTCGCAGGGCCTAAGCGAGGATAGACAAACCGAAGACGGTTTTTGGGGAAAACCATCGAATGCAAAAGGGGCGACAATCGCATGTGAACCTGAAACAAAAGGAGCACATCGTGAAGTTCTTGGGAGCACATGCTGTGCTAGAACTTTGGCTCTATCCCATTAACAGTAACAGTGGATGATGATCGTTAGTAGTCGTTAGTAAGCATAGAGGCCTTTCTCTAAAGTAGTGATTCAAAAAAACCAACTGTTACATGTAAGTTCGGACAGACCCAAGCTGTTCTCCTTGCGGCCAATTACTTGGACCCAACACTCCCCTTTCGTCCCTTTTCATCCTACTTCCTTCGGCCGGGCAAGTAGTAGAGACCCCATCTTAGTGTTGATCCAATCACTGATCTATTCACTTGTATAATTAATTGTATATATCCACAATCACAATGGCTGATAGACATACCTTGAGTGAAGAACCATTGAGCTAGAAGACTCTTTCTGATTTGAGCTTTGTCGCAAGAAAAATGCTGGAACCCTGGAAATACGTTCAGCAGTCTAAACGAACATTCACAAAAACCGCCGAACCAACAAGCTTTGTCTGGGGTGACAGTGACCCTCCGCAACGATACTCTGTCAATATCCTAATAAGGAGTACATCGGCTTCAGTGGTCTTGGGCTGAGTCTTGGGCTTAGCTTGTTGCCATTCAGTATACCCCGTAGTGGTGGGTTGTTTGTGTTTCACAAGTATGTTGTTTATATATTAAGGAAACTGATCGAAATGAAAAGTGGGGAAGAGGATGTCTCTCTCTCTCTGCTACCGAACGAAATATCGTAGTATACCGCGATCTGGACTTTGCACTTGTTGCGGTTGCTTGGCAAGCCCCACCTATCTTCCCCCCACTCAAAAGCTTCGGTGACATACCAAACTAAGCCTACCTCAAACTATTTATAACCCTAAGCAGTCTTACCCTGTTGACCTTAACATCTTCATTCTACATCTTCCAATACTTCGAACCCATCTCCCAGCCCGACCCCCCCTCACCGCACGACTGGGCGGTGTCCGCCACTCCCAGGCACGTGAGGACGATCTCCTCGTTGCGATCGCCAAAGGCCATCCCGCCCACGCCCTGCCAAGATCGATCGCGTGGATGAGAAGCATCGCGGTCCCAGGGCGGTCCTGTCGGAGTGTGGAGCCTAGCCCCAACGGAGTGTGTCGTCATCGATGTAAGATATGCCTACATTGATTTCACTGAAAGAACCGCCTCAACAAATGACATGGAGAAAAGTAGGAAAGCAGGACGACATGGGCACGGGTGTGGGTGGTGTTTCCTTTGGGGGAAGCCGAAAGGGGACCCCAAAACGGCCGGACGGACCCGACAAGAATGCTGCAACTGCATCATGTCAACATAAGAACTGATGTTGAACAGATGCAGTGATATGCAGTGAAGAGTTTTGTTGCATGGCATGACGCAAAACAACTTGAGCCGACATTGAAAGTAACGCGAAACCCACGGCTTGTAAAGGAGCCTTTTGCAAATGGGATACTGCTTCGGATTCCATGTCAATCTCCCCGGAGCTAAGAGTAGTATAACTATACAGTATCCGTATACCGCAAAAAAAAAACGCATAAGCCCTCAATAATCCTCAATGGAGCTTCTTCCTTCTTCCATGCACGCCTGAAGCCCTCTCACCCTTCGCATCTTCCCCGGCTCGGCCCGAGCTGCGCCGACCACGGTGTGGCCCAGGCACCCAGCGTGGCCCACGCCACGCCACGCCACGCTGACCGCCCGTGGGCCTCGCAGAGTTGGCATCGTGGCAGCTGATCTTGGTCGCAGCGGCGCGTGCGGTTCCAGCCCTGTGGGTTCCCATCGTCCGGCCCAATGGTCTTCCTGACGGCGAACGCGTGGGTGCGACACGGATGGGACGGCCAATGTGGGCTACAAGCCAGCATCATTCCAGGTGTCTTATCAGAAATCATCCCCACAGGATCAGATTGTTTGGACTGATTGTTTAGGATGTTGGAGCATCCCACCCAGTTCTTCTTTCTCACAAAAACTCTGATGCTGTTCCCATTTCAACCACACCTTTGCGCCGAAAACGTGGCCCACGCGTTCGCTCTTGGCGCTGACTGACGCGCGGTGCCAGCGCTCACGTGCCGTGCCATGTGTCTTCAGCGCGTCAGGCGGCAAAGTGCCAGGGAGCTTCTTGTCATGATCTGCCTGTCGTCGATGCAGTTCTGTGCCGTTCGTTCTCCGCAGAGGTGCGCCGTGAGGTACGCGCGGCGCGAAGCCTTTACAAACCGATCCTCGAAGCTCAGAAATGAAAGGAGGGGGAACCGGAGGCATATAGAAGGGAATCAAGTTCTTCAAATTGCAGTACTGGTCCTTTGAGAAACTTGATGGGATTCCTTAAAGCCTTAAGGTTTCATCTATAAACAGGTTCTTTGGACCAGTCTTCGCGAAACCCAAGAAGTGTCCAATCTGGAGCCTTCACTGACCTGGCTGCTTCAGGCATACCACGACAGAGCGTGACTTGGACCATCTGATCCTACAGTGACTTGCAACCACGACAGACTCGAGAACATCTTCAGGTTGCTCCTGCATGAGACACAAACCAGCGTGGAATCCAACAATTATGAAAGACCAGTTCCCACGAAAACAAGAACTGGAGCAGTACTGAGACTCCAAAACTCCTTGTCCAGTTGTATGGCCATCTTGCATCTAACCCGCATGGAAACACAGCATCCAAACAACTTTCTACAAGACCAGACGACTTCCAACCCAGCGTTCGTGCTCGCTAGAGACGTGATCGTCGACACCATGTTGTCGTCGACCAGCCTTCCGACCTTCCTGTAAACAAGACTTCCGAACATTTGTATCCCTAATAGGATTTCAAGGAGGGGTTGAACCCTACCCATTTCCTAGAGGAAATTCCAGTGGGGATACATTTGTTCCTTTCACCTGCACGGCAAATCCTACAATTGAGTTTCTGTTCAGAAAAAGCATGAACACGCACTGCGCGGGAGGCCTTTCTAAAAGCGACCTATCAAGATAGGATGTTGGCTCCCAAAGACACGGTTGAAGTTCAACTTGTGATCCAGACAACACCTATAGTATCCACTTCACTATAGCATTTTGGAGGGTCGATTGGTCCAAAACTGCCAACCCTTTCTGGGTTTGACCTCTCACCACCGGTGATTAATGTGACTCCCAACCCCCAACACGATACTCCCGTGCCCAACACCCAGTGGCCCATTCACTCTGTCACGGTGCCGTCCGCCCGCCTGAGTGGAGTGACACCAATCACAGGAGTTGGCCTCATTCACCTGGCCACAAAGGTGCAGTGCTTCCCGCCTTCCCGAGACCGCGCCCGTTGGGCTTCTGGGCGCGGGGCTTCTGGGCGCGGTCTGAGTTCGAGGAGGAGTCAACCACCATATCTCGTTGGGCGCAGAACACCCAACCAAACTGACTGCTGCGGCTCCAAACGAGAACGAGGGAATGGATCCCTCAATCAAGGGATCTCTAGTGGGGGGGGGCAGCCAGCCTGATTCCCGTCGTAGCACCAGTCAGTTCCAAACGACCCCCACCTTGGCACACAGCATGGTCGCTGCCGTCGTTTCCCCCCCATCGCTGTCCAGCTGTCGCAGTCCAGGGTCGCAGCTTCTTTTGGGGCCCTCAGGCAGCAATGGCACCTTGGTTTGACTCCTAGAAAGTCTTTGGTGCGGCGCCGGCCAAGAGCCCAATGGACTAAATGTGACAAACAGGACATCCATTTGGGAGTGTTCGACGACCTTGTGGGTAGTTGTTATGAACATCATGAACACGTGGAGGTACATGGTTGATCCCCAACACAAATCTCTACATGCCTTCTAAAGCCTTCCCTGCCGAAGAACCCGGGCCATACCGAAATTTGGCAATCGTCAAAGACGGTCATGAAGAAGGCCCTGGGGTCGACGTGATCTATACAACATGTCTGTTGACCACCCACCCGGGGTTTCTTTCCTCTTTCCTTTGTTGACGCGCCAAGGACGTTGGGCCTGCGGCCGCGAAAAAATTCAAAAAAAACTTGCGTAGAATGAGGAATTCCGGAATGTTCAAAGGTTCAAAGATGCTTCGACTATCTTCGACTCCTTTTGACACAAAAAGGTCCGCCACCGACTCATCTGACTCATCATCTCGGATCGGCGTTTGTGGGGATCGGTCCTTTGAGGAGTCTTCCACCAGGACCCACGACAGGGGTGGTTAATGGACACCCCAAATCACCTCTAAGGAGCGATCAATAGAAGCCCCGAAAAGGGGGTCTTGGCATGCATTTCCAAGATGCAGCTCTGTACAAGCTGCTTGAAACGCTGTGGCCTTTGTGGTCCTTGTGTTTCTTCTCTTGTTGCTGCATGTTTCTACCACTTCCGGGGCCGGAACTGACCACACAAGGCCTCTTCAGTTGAGGCCTCGAGACCTCGATCTTTCTTCATCAACAGGCCTCTGTTTATTCACACGTTATAGCCTTGAGCCGTCTCGAGCCTCAGGTTATGAGTCTTTTGCCAGGAGCCGAGAGAACCCAATTTCGTGCCGAAGCCTTTGACAGAATCGACATGCTTTTGTACGCTGCCAAAGCCTTCGGCATCACGAAGAATTTTGCTTGGCAGTATAAGCCTGTGATATACCCGATGTGAATTGCCAGAAGGAACCCTGGTTTCTCTCCAGGAAAATGCTCAGATTGTGTGTATGTATCGTTGCCACTTACAGCACAAAAAAACACGCCAGAAAGACCCAAAAAGGGACTCTCTGTCCATTTAATGAGGGTTGCTATTTGTGGTTGTCCAACCAGATAGAGTGGGTAGAGGTGCTCAATCGACAAACAAAACTGGGTGATTCCTGATAGAATAAATCCTCTTGCTTTCGATCAGGTTTGTGACACCCAAAGCATCATCAGTTCAACCAAATAGATAGGAGAAACTGTAGGGTGCAACTACCTCAAGATACCTCAAGGCTTAGTAATCTTCGTTGGAGAAAGCACCCAACCGTGGAATGTAAAATGTTTAACTGTTCTTTGTTGTACTGGCGCCCAGCTGCCGGATTCTCTTGTCAGCTCAACATCTACTCTTACTTTTGAGTCAGAACCAACGTCCCAGCGTCGAAGCGACGAAAACCCCTCCAAATCTCCACGTCCCAATCAAAAAGCTTCAAAAAACAATGAAATCCGATCTTCTCCATCTTCCGTGGTCCGAAAGAGCTCCCAGCCAAGCTCCAGTCTACAGCGCCAGTCAGCCCAAGCCACCGTGAGGTTCTGCCTCCGGAACTCCTGGCGCTTCTCTTCGGCCAAGTGATGCACCCACCACATCACAGCCTCCCGGCAATGGGCCTCCTGATACCAACGACTCGCGGCCGCCGACACCGACTACCGAGGACCTCGCGTGAGATCGGTTCTGCCGAGCCACAACCGAGCAACGATCGGTTCCCTTTGCCAACCAAAGAAATCCCAAAAGGGGTCCGGCGAGCTACGATCGGATGTCTTGGGGTGTAACCTCGGATGTCTCAGGGTGTTTTTCGGGTATGTCAAGCTTCATGTTTCGGGTAGTTCTTTTGATGATGATATTCAATACATGATTCGTTTCGGAGAAGGGATGATGGGTAGATGATATTAGGGTGGAACGTCAACTGCAAACTCCAACGATTCTGCGGGGGGTGAGACCTCACGGCGGAGGAAATCGAAGTCGGATGTGACTAAAACTGATCTCATATCTTCTTCAATTCAAGCAACGCACAAGTGGATTTGGAAGATCATCTTCCTCTTCCAGTAATTACCTTCCCCCTGCAAACCCACCTTTCACACCCCATCGTGAAAGATTCCACCCACATGTCGCAGCTCCTTCTGTGGCAGATGCAAGTGTGGATGCTCTGAGACGATCCGATTCAGCTCCTTCCACTGGCTCCGGAAATCCTGAAAAAAAGTCCACAGGGCCGGGCCCTGTGGAGCCCGGCACCGCACCCTGCCTGCTTGTACCAGAAGAAGAGTTACGCCAACAAACCGAGCCACCAATCACCAAAGAGTGAAGCTAAATAGAGCTATAGTGAGCAATACAACCTCCAACAACCTCCACCATGCCGTCCCAACGCCTCGAGGGACTCCTGTCGCAGGGTCCGCCGATCCAAACTGCTGCGGTAGATCAGCTGCAGCTCGGTCGACCGGTGTTCTGCCACTGTGGCCATGAAGTTCTGTAGCCCTCCGCTGCTTCAACGGACGGAAGAGACTTTGGCATGAGCCCAACGCTTTATTTGCATGAGACGGAGGGTGTTTCGTGGCAACTGTTGGCATGTTGTACACGTTTTGGTGAGATAGGCAACTCAAAGAATTCCACGGGACAGCCATGCTAACACTGATCGAAGTGGCCAGAATGGTCAGACCTAGAATGGCGGCCCCAGCCCGCGGGCGTCGCATCCAAGCTGCGCCTTCCAGGGACCAGTTCTCACATGGCAGCGTTCCACCCTCCGCATTCTTCAGGTGCTCGTTGAGCTTTTGGCTCATCGACACCTGCGCGGGGTTAAGCGGTCGATTCAGTGAGGATCCGTCTCGCGCCGGCGACGGGTGTTTGAGCGCCTTTCCCGAGAAGCACCCCTAAGTGCCTGGGGGGGGGCGGGTGAAGACGAAATAAGACGAAAACGTCCAACGGACGGAAGTTTGACATGCGGTCCATGTGGTTGTTCGTTCTTCCCTTCCCGAATAAGTCCATTTCGTCCCTATAGGGTTGGAATCCACTCTCCGGAATCCGTGGAGACATCGCGTGTTGGTCTTCACATCTGACCCATTCTGAGACCTCGCGCCATGTCTCCCTGGTCGTCCATCGCGTGATGTCTCCCTGCCTGGTCGTGTCCTTTGTATGCGGCTCCAGGGATCTTCCTCCTCGCCCGTTGCAGGTCCTTCACCTCCGTCGCGTCGAGGAGCACGAGCGCCACGCTGACACGGGCCACGGTGCGAAGCACACGTGCCATGCGTGCGACACAGCTCTCCAGCCCACGCCCACGCGGCGCGTGGGAGGGGAAACTGAGCCGCAAGCTGCGCTGCGGGCCAAGAGCTGCGGGGCGCTGCGGGCGAAGAGCTGCGGACGCTGCGGGTGTCGGTTGTTCTTCCGTAGGAGCTGCAGGACGTGTCTCGTATTTTTGGGGCGTCGTTTCTAGACGAAAATGACCCCAAGCTTGGGATGCCTTTGCTTGCCCATCGCGTCATCGGTGGTGTCAGATTTCCCAGGTGTGAAGTCAGTCGAAGCTGGTTCCATTGGAGGAAGAACAGCGGGTATCATCGATGAATTTCGAGTATCTATAAAACGTGCACGAGCAATCATGGTGAACATCTCCTTCACATGAACATATCTCATGATCATATGTAAACTGTACAGCTAATTTGCCCAGTGTGCTTTCTCGGCGGAGGAAGCACAGGCATCGTTCCTTGACCCGCAGTACCACCCGCATCCACCGGTGGAGCAGGCGGATCGCACCTTGAGACCAGTTCGAGAGCCACGTCTCTTGACCCATGGCACATCGTGTGGCGAAGACATCACTGGACACACAGATTTGCATGGATGTGTTCAATTAGATCATGCTCAGCATGCGATACAACAGAACACTGAGTGCTTCAATGTTCTTGTCACAACCACCAGGACGTTTGAGCCGTTCGTGACCGTCCTTGACATTTTCAGGAGAAGATCGGTCACTTCAAGACAGACAGACAGACAGGGCCTGGAATTCAGGGTCACAGAGACTTCTGGTCCACAAACTCCGTAGGTCTTCCGATTGTGTGTATCCACCCGCACGCCCTAGGAATGGGGGTGAAAACGTCGAGTTACCAGCTCATGAAGTGATGGCATGACGTGATGGCTAAAACCGCGCGAAAAACTCGTTGGATCTGCTGGAGCCAGGAAGCTGCTGCGAAACGAAAGAAGCTCCGAAAGAAATACACGTAGTAGACTGTTGTTGGGAATAACAAACAAAACGCAGAACCACTCAGGAAGCGAGTGAAAATCCTCCATCTCTGCTTAGTTGCACCACAGCCGCACCCGTTTCACATGTGTGTGGTCTCGCAAGGCCGAGACCCTGAAAAGAACCTAGTCAACCGCAAGGCCAAGACCCTCAGGTTTCTGGCTTGCAATCTTTTTCGGTGTCTCTTCACCCCCCAACAATGAGCCAGGTGAGGGGCTGCCCAAACAAAAATGACCAGGCCCTACCTGGAAGCACCATCTATCTCCCTCTTCGAGGTGCTTCCAGGTGCTGCCAGCCGACCAGGTCGATCTGTGTTACATGCAAGAGCCTGCTGGATGAAGCTTTCCAAGGCTTTGGGTGCCTTATCCTGGCTGTCCGGGTCCCCAGACAGCTCGAGCGCGCGATGCCGCGTTGTCAACGAAGCTGAGGGTAGTTGGACGCTTCAGCAAGTGGACAGGGCTGTGACCCCTGTGGTTGGCCATGAGAACGAACCTCTAGAAGTTCTTGGACTTTGGAAAAATCAAGGTGGTTGACTTATTGTACTGGAAAAGGTGCAAAACATCTGTCAAGCATAGCAAAACCACCACCATGCCAAGAAAAGCTTTCCTTTGTAACATTTTATAACATGACATGCCAAGCAACCTCAGAGATGCAACACGCACCCCCCTTCTTGCACCAGCCCCAGCACCAGCACACCGGCCAGGTGAAACATCCCACCTAACCCGCTCCATGGAACCCGCCAACGAGCTCAAGTCCTCCAACCGCTCCAAAAACCGATCTCGCTCGGGCTCCGTCCCCGTCCTGCAGGAGGATCACGGGGCTCACCATGGCCGCCCAGAAGCCCAGCAAGTAATGCTTGCTGTTGGGCATGACTTCCCATCTCCTGCTGTTCGCACCCCGCGATCCGAAGACGACGAGCGACGTCGCTGCGAACGCGCGACACCGCAGACCATAGGCCCTGCGGCGCCGCCATCGTTTAGGGCCCTGCGCTGGTGTCGGGCGCGATGGCGTGAGATTTCTAATGGATCCTCTGAAGAGGTTCCAATTCGGTGATCTCACACACCCAAAATGGAAGAGAACCTGAACCTGGCATCGCATCGGTCCACACCCCGGAAGCCCGACGTCCTCAGGCTGTCCATGGTAAAGCCATAGACTTGCTCGATCCATGCCTGGAACCTCATCGATCCCCAGGCTTCTCAGACCGAGAAATGCCCAATGACTCAGCTGGGAAGCTTGGTGAAAGCACGTGACCCCTCAGCCACCCCGCCATAAAGGACCATCTGAGGGGGTCACCAAAACCCAAAAACGGACCCAGATGACGAACCGATCCCGCGACCACATGGTTCCGATCTGATCCTCTGTTCTGTGACGACTTCGGACGGGTGGGTTCCATCGCTTGATCATCCATCCAAGAAGTTGCTTGGGGGGGGTTGGGGGGGCCGGGTAGTGTGGGGAAGAACCCTCCATCACTCAAGTCTTGAGCCTTCACTATAGGGTGACATGGGGTGACCCTGCTGAAATGCCCCGACCCCCCCGACCGACTGTGTTCATCTATGATGGTGCATCACTCACGGCCAATCCTCGAGCAGAATCGACTGCGCAACATATCGCAAAAGAGACACCTGCGACATTCACTGCATGGACGGTCTCATACATCCAGCCCGAACCGGCCAGTCGTCTCATGTCCGCCCCGACCCCCATCCCCATCCCCGACCCGCTGCGAACGGACGGTCGTGTTCACCAGGTCAACCCCCACCCTTCGCGTCTTCGGTGCCACCGGACGCCCGTTGCGGACGGCCGAGCCACTGCTCGTTGGCGCAAAGCTCGTTGAGCTGATGCGTGGCCTGGCGAGCGGAGTCCGAGAGTCCGATCGGAGGGGGTGGAGGGGGGGAAGCTGGCCGGAGCGACGAGCCAGGTTTGCTATTAGAAACCATGTTCGCTACGAACGGAACAAGTGCATCGCTACTAGGAACAAGTGCCTTACTATAGTAGTAACAAGAAGCTATTAGAAACAAGAAATAGATAGAATTAAAGTCATATCAACATGGACCAACCAGCAAGACGCCCCCCATCGGCGTCTTGGGATCACCCGTGACCATGTCAATTCCTGGACCATGTCATTAACCCTTCCACCGACCGGTTGTTCGGAGAGTGGTGCGTGGTGTTACATTGCTGCATCAGACCTAACAAGGGTTGATGATTACATCAATGACACCAAAAAGGTCTGTCTTCGGGGTGGTTTGATAGATGAAAAGGCAAACATTTGCATAGTTGGAAGATGAAGGTAGGTATACTGTACTATACGGTCAACCCAGCAAACTGCGCTCGTCACAACATGGAGTTGGAACACCACTCGAACGAACTGTGGCAAAGTGCCTCTCAACGACCAAAACGATTTGGGCGCAGCCACCTAAGGTTCTATTGTATCACTGTATCACCTTTTGCTGATGAAGGAAGTCCCAGGTAAGGATCTCTGACTATGTACAATTCTTGGCTTAGGCCCTGCACCAAGCATGTGTATATATATTTACTTCTCCACTTACTGTACAAGCTTCTTCCGCAGCCGCGGTGTACCTTATGCCATGGCTTGGCTTGCGCCAGTGCAGCCTCAAGCCAAACCTTGGCTTCCACTGCCTTGCAACACAACTTTCCTGTGTGTATGGATACTTTGGCACTTGGTCATTTGACCCCTGATTCTCTAGCTTTTTGGGGTGTCAATCAAGGTCTTGCTCGCTTGCAGTAGGCCCTTGTTGGTTGAGACATTGAGACCCAACGATATAAAACCAACCAGGCCAGGAGCACATTGATCTTGCCCAGCAAGCGGCAAAGCTCATGGTAGCAACCATGATCCTGCAAGCCACCCGGAGCAAAGTGAATATCCTCCCTTCTGTCCATTCACTCGCGGATGGAACATGGCATCCATTCCGTGTCCATTCTGCAATTCGATGGATCACTACTCTCTGGGAGGAAGCTTCCAGGTCAGTTTGAGATCGTTTGCCACACACGTACAAACATTGAGGATAGTCGCCCCAGATTGGCTTTGAGTGCAGCTGGACTCTGACTCTCGCCCCTTCCGGCCGGGCGGCATTCTCACCCCCTTGGTTTTGGCGAAAGGCACCGATCTTGGCATCAAAGGGATGGTCCAGTGCTTTTTAGGATTCGTCTTTAAAGCCCACCGCACGAGCCAAACGCGCATGTCCAAAATGCTTGGCATTCAGATTCAGCCGTTTTCTCTCCAAATACTCACCCCTAGAGGTCCAGGAAACCACCAAAGCGTTATGGTACCCCGGTTTGCAGCCTCCATGGCTGGTTACGACCCATGAGGAGAACTCGAACAAAGGGCTGGAACCACATCATTGCCACAGATCGAACAAGAAAGAACACGCAGGTGTTGGTCCTGGATTTGGACTTCTCCAACAGTTTGGACGAAAGTGCATGTGGCTCGGATATCCATTCAATGCACTTGTTTGGACACGGTTCTCTTGCCACACTGGTCCGGTCATGGTGGTGTGGTCATGGTTCCGTTTGGTGTGGTCATGGTTCCGGTGGTACCACCTCCAAGAGACCATGACGGAACGTCACTGTTGAAAGGCTGGAACCTTCCGCTTCGGTGCAGGAGACGAGCTCGCCCTCGAGCCGACGGGCCCCAGGTCATCTGCCGCGGCCTGCAGTCCCATCTTGGAAGCCAGGATCGCAGTGGTCCCCTGGCGTGCACGTTTGCTTTACTAGAGGAAAACGTACGGTCAACCATTGTTGGTCTTGGAAGGCTAGGGAGAGGTTTCATATGATGTCCGAGATGATTTTCAGTGTTGACTTGCCCGGCTTGCCCTGGGTCCTTCGTTTTCGACGAGCAAAAGAAACCCTCAGCCAGGCGCCATGGCAGCAAATGAGAGCAAGTTCGACGTCGCATTCCAAAGAACAGCACAAAGGAATGCTCCTCATCTTCCTTCCGCCTAGACCTAAACAAACAAAATACATATATGTATAGGTATATAACATAGATAAGTCTCATGTGACCCTCTGCTAAATGGATTACAGTAATCACATCGTGGCATGCGACATCTGCCGCAAGTGCCTGCATCATGCTCGCCAGCAGCCGCGTCCGGTCCTCTTCCTGCATTTGTGAAGGTTCCAACCAAAAGGGGGCACAAATGCCCACGACACACGCAGTATCCTGAGTTGAATGTTGAAACATGCCAGTAAGCCATGAACAACTTCAAACATCTTCACGCGAGGTTCCTCTCTCGCCACGTCTCGGCTATCGGACTGTCCACACCGTGGGACCCACCAAAACGCGCGGTGGCGGGGGGTGACCCCCAAAAGCCCCCCTCCTGGGCGGCTTCGGCGCCCGTTCGGGGCCATCGGAATCGTTGGATGGCCCTGTCAGTTCACAGTGCGCCATCGAGAAGTCCGGACCTCGCAAGGTGGGATGATCGCTTCTCCGCTTCCTCCGCTCGGCGATCCGAGGTGGACACCGATAGATCTCCGGACGTCCGGTGGAACCTCGCCTTCTGGAAAAAGGAGCGCCGAAGGGCAGCGAGCAAGACCAGGAACTGCCTCAAAGGACCAGGGCACCATACCGGCGAGGCACGGCGAGTCCGGCGAGGCACGGCGAGTCGAAACAGACGCTACGGCGAGCGAGGCACCGCTGCGTCCGGTCGATCGACGATGGAGGGAAGGCTTGACACAAGGAAACCAGTTTGCACACTTTGGATCAAAGACCGGCCATGAACCTCAGAGCTTCGCAAACCCAGAGAAGAACCCTGTGAGAATTCACCAAGAACTGTCAATAAGGTCTGTCTCTCTTTTCCTGCAGCGCACTGATCGCCGGTCTAAGGCAGTCACAAGCAGAATTGCGCGCACTCCGTCCATTGGTAGTTGCAGCTCCTCGTGCCGCTGACGTTCAAACGTTGCGTGTGGAAAGGAACGGCCGAGCGGTGCACTGGGTGCCGATGTCCACGAGCCCGTCCTTTCGGGCAACATCCATGCGGAACGTGAGGTTCCTTTCTCCTATACTATAGTTGTGATACAACCTGGTAAACACCAACGGTAGTTTTTAAGATACTTTGAGCTCACAGCATCCGGGTTGATAGGTTAGGAACGAAGCGGTATGAAGCTCCACGACTATTTAGGCGTACTCAGGCCCCCAGTCACTCATCTACCCAGCGCCGCCATCTTTTCGCATCTACCCAGCGCAGTGGCCAAAAGCCTTCTGCCACCTCTGTCCAAGGCTACTCCGTCAGCGCAGGTCTTTTCGTTTGTTCGCAGCTGCCATGGCGGTTCAAATGCCACCAGGCGTCCTCGGCTGCGATCGGAGGTGGAGGTGTCCCGATTGACCTCTGGTTGACCTCTGGTCCTCCCGTGCTCTTCCGTTCAGTCGTCTAATTCGGTGAGTGATTTTGGAAGCCAAGTGGCTCGGTTTCACCAATGACAAAGACATCGTCGTCAATCTTGGTGAGACAAATGGACAACGCACCGGTGAGCACAAGTAAGACCCGGCACCCGTGAAAACATATGAAAAATTGACTGGGCAAAAACCGCGAATGTGTGAAGACTTCTTTCAGCTAACCTTATATATGGGATGGATGGTGATGGTGGTACCCCTTGATGTCCGTCACGTGGTTCTTTTTTCTAAAGACCACCACCTTTGAAATTTGGGGTCCAGCCTCACATGGCTTGGTGAACCAGTTCGTAGACGGGTCCAACCGATGTTTTCTCACTGGGGCAGTCGTGAATGTTGACAGACCGACGAACATAATTGCATGGCTGGGAGCATCATCAAGCTGGACATCTCTGGCAGAAGTGTCCTGCGCGCCCAGACTGGAACGATTCGATGCCCAAACTGACGCACAAAAAGACCGTGTTTGCCGCACGGATGGTGTTTTGCAGATCCCAAACACAATCATCCCCTCAGTCCTCCTTCTCCCCACCATCTTTGCAGCAGGGCAAATATGAAACCACAATCGAGCAGATCCTTAACTTGTGGCAAGCGGACAAAACGTGGGACAGAATTGGGCAGCATCCCAACAACACCCGGAACCGCTGTCAGCTGTCCATGCTTTCATATGCTTTCCCATGATGTTCCCCGTGTGCATCAAAACAAAGTAGTTATCGTGTCCTGCATGTGGATGGTCCTGTGTCATTGCAACTCCTACTTTTCCAGGACAGCGTTTACACAGGCCAGAGCGGCAAAAAGCTTACTATCAGCAGCGAGGAGAGCGACATGCTGACCTTGCAATCGAGCAACTCAGCGGTGGTTTGCTGGGATGTGTGTGTGTGTGTGTCTTTTTCATAATTGTTTAAAGGGTTAACCTTTCTGTATACCCACTAGCAAAACACCCTTAAAGCCATGTGGGTGTTCTTGGGGGGCGTTTTGTTGGTACTTGCGCATTCCTGATTCATCCTAAGTGTTGAAATCTCTCGGTCCACGAACGGCTTCCGGGAGTCCACGAACGGTTGGACGTCTCGATCGTCAAGCTGTTCGACGTCTCGATGCACAGGCGACCCATGATCGAACGATGTCCAGGTGCTGAAGCTAGATTCGATGTACTCAAAGCTGCAAAAGAGCGATAAAAACCCGCGGCCGTCAGATGTTCCTTTCAAATCCTTTCAACTGGGTCGCTTTGAAGTGCAAGATGGAGATGAGAAGGAAGACCTAGATTCTACAAAGGAAAGAAGCGACTCGAGGCCAGAGAAAATCCACCGATGCTTTCCTGTGACCCGAAATCCGAAAACTGCACCACAAACTTGGGTCAGCGGCCGTCTTAGGCCGCTGGGTAGGCCTAAATCATCAAAATGACTTTGCCATACCTAGTCCTTTCCTCTCAACATCAGATCGATTGGGCCAACCTCTCCCCAAAATCTTCCTCCAAAAATGCAGCCCAGCCCTTCCCAGCCCTGATTCTCCAATTTCTTGCCTCAACCCAATGAGAGAGGATCAGTTTCAAGCCGATGAAGACCAGAACGACTCCAACACCATACCTGCTACGGCCATTGGATCAAAACGAGTAGAAGTTCTACTCGTTGGTCTGGCCTGGAAGAAAAATCAGGGCGTATATCAAAACCTGTAGAAGTCCATGATTCACGACAGAAGCAAGAATAGAAGTATGGACAGAAACCACGTGTTGGTGCAGTGCGGCACTGGACGTGGTGGGAAGGTGCAGGGCGTCATGTGGATTCTGACACCGAACACCGAGGCGGTTGGATTCACCAAGAAAACATGCCAACCGGGACGTGACCACAGGCAGCATGGACCAGTACACAGCGTTACCACTGTGTTGGCTCCTTGCTGCCCACAGCTTCTCCCTCTCTAACATTGAGACCCCCACATGCACTGGTGAGGTGGAGGAGGATTTGGTCCATCAGGTCCGGTCCCGGAGGAAGTGACCACACCCACAGCCGTAGGAGGATGTAAACCATGATTGTTTCGGCCTGCCCATCGCTGTGAAACATCTGCACGGGCGAATGGACATATGACTTTGGATGGCCGGTTTCCCGCCTGGGAAACCCTCCCCATGCCTGTCTCCCACATCTCCCGCGCTCCACCGGGGCGCTTGAGGAAGCGAAAGGATTGCGTCAGCAGGTCCACGACCTAAACTGGTCCATTTCAACCGGCGGAACCGGACAAATGCCGGGGACCCCCCCCCGTGGCGGGACCTGCGAGGGCCGACCTGCGAGGGCGTGGCAATCTGTTTGTGCCACAAGGTCCTTTTTGCATTGGGGGACAGGGGTAGAAGGGGCTTTGGAGATGCACAAAAGCTCACGAAGGGTAGATCCACTTTTCTCTGAAGAGTCGTTAATGCATCGACCTTCTACATGGCAGCTTCATGCACAGGGCTTAAGAAAACTGTGCCTGTTTTACTTGTTTCCTGTTGTTTCCTACTAAGGACCGTAACCCCTGTTTCCCACTAAGCGAAAACTACCTACGATCACCTACATGGCTGTGGCGGTCCGGTCCGCTCTGAACGTGCGGACGGTGGTGTTGGACGCGTCCTCCGGGCTCCGTGTGGGAGCCCGAGGGTGCGCGGGTCACCCGAACCCAACGGAAAACGGCCCATTCTCCAGGTGGGAATGAACGTGAACGATGCGAGTGAACGTGAAAGGGACGCATGGCAGCCAGTTTGGGGAGCTGGACATGCTGGTGGGACCATGCTTCCGCATTATCCCTATAGGCTTCCAACATCTTCCGACCACCACTGATGACACTACCTCACCAGGTCCACCAGGTCCTCATATATGGTCAAATGGAAGCCTTGTTTTCACCCGTGAAAACAGGAACGAAAAACTGGTCACCGCTTCTGAACCGCCGGGTGTCCAAATATAAGCTGCGCAGGACAAACATGGCAAACGCCGATGAGGAGAGGTTCAGGAAGAAACTCACCTCGAGTGGTTCGCGAGTTGAGGAGATTCTCTTTGGTGGCGAACCCTTTTTTTGTTCGCCACTGCAGGTGTGCCGAATGTACAGTGGCGAAGCGGATGCCATGCATGGCATCTTCTGAAAACCGTGGATTTAAACACGGTAGTCTTTATCTACACAATCTACACAGCCAAATCACCTATCAGGAACAAACACTTGGGCCACCAGTAAACCAGGCACCGGTAGAAGCGGACAACGAGGTGTGTTGTAGTAGCACAAGTTGCCTTGTTCTGACAGGTAACCACAGGTACCGACCACAGAGATCCACTTGGGGATTCTTTTTGGTTACCTGGTGCCTTGGGCAGTCACTCCAACTCCGAAAACCCGACGCCAGGCTGATCCAGTGGTCTACCCTCCGGGCGGGAAAGAAGAATGTGCCCCTGCCACCCCCCCCCCCGGTCCAAGACCGGATCACACTTGGGGCAGATTCTGAATGCATCTGCCACCCTCCCAAGTCCGTCCAAGACTTGGCTCCGCGTCGCGTTCGCGTCGCGTCGCGTCGACTGCCCCAGGCCACTGAAGGGTCGAAGCTGTGGACCGACGAGACCTTGGCAGTGACCTGGAGCAGTTGGGGCGGAGCAGGGCGGGTAGAGCCTTCACCGAGTCGAACGAGCGAGTGACCCAGGTGGGACCAGAAACCAAGGGTCTTCTGAAGACCCACGGAGGTTTTGCAGGGAAAATACTCGGGCATGTGCGACTGAACCACAATACGTTCAGGGGCGCCTCCGTTGATCTCTTGACTCCACTAAAGTACCAACGCGCACAGCCGACGAGAGAGTTCGGGTTCAGTCGCGAAAAGTGTGTTTCACACCCTAACCTATCGTGTTCGTCCAGTTGGGCAGTCACAACGGGCCTTCCAAAAGAGTAAAGCCATCCCTTTGAAATTCACCCAGTCACTGGGGTATACCTCTCTACTTTGGCCAGTCAAATGGGATGGGTCGAATGCTCCTAGTAGTATGTACCACTGTTGGAACATGTTGGGTTCCCACTGTTTGGTCGAAGTTGAGACCAACCCCCTGCTCAAACGGCGGAAAATCGCCAGGATGGGAAAAGCCACTCTCGGCTCGGTGAACCGATTTATGGCAAAAGATGTGGGTTGGCGGCCCCACCAAGTGGAGGACCCAGGAGGTTTGCGAGGAAAAGACACCGATTGGTGGTTCCAATCTTCAAGAAGCTGATTCTGTACCCATCCTGGCTGGCTCGTTGGAGATAGAAACCATCGCACGTCAGTGTCTTACAAAACCCGAATCCGTCAAGCCAGAAAAGACTCCTCTTGGAACCATCGGAACCGCCATTTCGCTCGACGGCACCGTCCGTCCAACGCTGTCGACGGCACGCTGTCGACGGCAAAGATCACGTCGATCACCGCCAAGGTGAGCACGACCAAGAAGAGCGGTGTCACCTGGAGGGGTGTCTTGCTGGTAACGCCTTCGTACGCCCCCCCAATCCGATGCCGGATTAGAGCGTGGTGGTCAGGGAAGAGTCGTTGGGATTGAAAAAAACAAGACTTCTGATGTTGCATGGTTTGAGCTAGACCTACCAGGTAGTGCCGGTCTGTTGTTGAATTTGCTCAGGCGTTCGGTTCATGTGAAGTGGCCGTTCGCTGAATTTGCTCACTCTGGTCTGGTCAAGTGCTTTTGGCACTAACTGGTCTATGACAGAACAAGGGGTCCCAAAACTCTGACCACTGGCTGCCGACTGCCAGCCGTCGCCTTGACCACTAACTAGCAGATGCTTGAGACTTGAGGGGCCCAAGCAATGTATCCAAGGTGTCCTTTTGACGGTTTTTAGGGTGACCCCAAGATCTAGGTGGTGGTCATGTTTGGTGACCAAAAGACATTCTCCTCAGCTAAAGACACATACAAAATGCAAAATGATCCGGCGGCCCAGTAGCCATCCATGAAAACACTTGAAAAGCTGTTTTGCTTCGGTGAGTGCAGCTGGAAGTGGAAATCGCCCGCAACACCGAAGGATGTCACCGCAAAGATCAAAGATCTCTGCATTGTTTGATCCTTGACTTCAGGATCCAAGGCCACTAGGCCTGCTGTTGGGAACATGCGCAAGGCAAACCGAGACAACGACGTCCTGTTCCCAATGGATGCCCGGTCCCTCTAACCCCTTCTCCCCATTCAATGGTTGCCTCCAGCCAAGGCGCTTTCAGTCTTTTAAGCTTTGAAGCCTCCAGGGGGCAGAGTTTCAGCTACAGATTGTTCACTAAGTGGGTCATAGCACAGGACGCAGGACCTACCAAACTTGTGCAACTAGGGTGCCATCCCAATTGAAGCCACACCTGGACCATCCTGGACCATCCTGGAACCTCTGGAGACCCAAAAAAGCTCCAACGACACCGTCCTTGGCCGAGGAAACTGCCAGGGACCGGACGCACCGCTGGACCGCCTGGGCCGAGGCGTCTTCGACGTCCATCATCCCGTGCCTCGGTTGCTGCGGCGTGGCGAGTGGCGGTGGACCGAAGGTGACCGAAGGGTCCGAGTGGGCTGGCAGTGAGAGGAAGCTTGGCAAGTGACTGGGAGATGTTCCCCAGGTGACCGGGGGGGCCTGGAAAGAAGTCATTGGCACATGGGTTGCTGAGGGTCACGGACCCCAAGGGTTGGAGAAGACGTCACTTTGAAGTAGTCTTGCCCGACATGCTGAACATCAGTCTGCAGGGCTACATGATTTGAACTCCCCATCAGGCAAGCTGGCTCGTGGCCTACACTCCTTTCCGAAGTTGCGAAGGCAACTATAGCTCAACAACAGGTGAGTAAGACCTTCTTTCAACTTGGAAATCCGCCTGGGCCATTGGTCTCGGAAAAGCTTGTGGAAGGAGAATGATTGTGCTACCAAGTGATAGGAGTTATTTAAAAAAAAAAAAAGCTTCTGCGTTACGAAAGGATGTCTTCAACAGAATACAAGAAAGGCAAGCCAAGGTGTACACAGCAAAATCGCGTGCCCCAACTACAACTCCAATGGTTGGGCACAGCTTGGCTCGGAGTGAAACGACTCGGCACTCGAAAAGAATCACTTGCAGGTTGGGTCTAGCATTAAATATATTGAGTTCAGCCTTCACCTCTCTCTCTCTCTATTTCTCTAAAAGTGTCTCAGGAAAGTATACTCTTGCTTCACCAGCATGTCTCTTGCAAACTCACGTTGTTGCTTCCAGATGTCCCAAAGCTTTCTTCATCTTTGCCACCGACCAACCACTTCCGGTCCAACCACCGACCCCACCGACCGCGGATTGGGTAGGTGGGTGTAAAACCCCCATGACCGTGACCATCCACTGAACCGTGACCACGAGAGCGGGATCGAATCAGCCATTCCCATGAGCGATCCACCAAACAGCCCTGGGCCTTACGACCACCTGACCAGAAAAAAACCATCCAACTCTCGCCCAGCGGCAGCTCCAATTCTTCGGTCTTTCTCATCCCAAGCACCTTCGGCGCTGGGCCAAGCCCCGCAGCAGCGCCGGTGGGAACGGCCACGGGAGCCAGCTCCACAGCAGGCGGCAACTCCTCCACGTGGAGGAAGAAGATAGGCTCCTGCCGGGTTCCCCCAGTGGAGTTCCCTTCCCGGGTGAGGGGAAAATGAAACAAAACAGAACAACATGTTCCAGGACCTTCAAAGTGACCCTTTGATGGTCGCTTAGGTCTGTACAAGGTCACTTAGAGACTCCAAAGAGGTCACTTTGAAGGTCCTGGTTCATGTTTGTTGTTTTTTGGTGTTTCTTTGAACTTTGAACCCCCTTTAGAGCCAGTGGGATTCTGATTCCAACATCAAAAAGGGCCTTCCCACCAGCTCCCTGAGGAGGAAGTTTCAAGCCATGCGAAGGGACATCCAGGTCCACCCCAGGGATTCCAACAGGATGCTGCTTGGAGGGATGGTTGGTGCCCAGAAAGTCAACTCACTTGTTTGGGGTCAGAAGAAACCCTCTGATCGACGTCAATAGTCCGACTTCATGGGGCTAAAACTCCATGGATTTCGAGGAGAATTCACACTAAGTCACCCGGGCGGGCCCACTTGGCCAACCCCAAGCAACCATTCCTTAGAAGCAGATTTATCAAGTCAACCACCTCAAATATCCTCAAATACTAAATACTGCCCTGACCCTCGTGGCAGAATCACCACTCAACCCAGACCTCCTGCTTTTCTGCCTGTGAGACCCCGCCCATGCCGCGGTCGGCTGCCTCGGTGTAGCGGTCGTGGAGCGGCAGGTGACGTGCCACACAACGCACCAGCAGGTTCTTCCGCGGATCCTACAAACGTCCGAACGACTTGGCCCACGGCTCGGTTTGGCGTCTGGGGCCTTGCAAATATGAGGTGACAGGGCGAAATGACAGGGGCATCCGGCCCGGGTTGAAAGATGCTTTGTCTAGTGGAGGGATGATGAGCATTTCTGCTTGGAGACAACAGCTGTTTGCAACTCGCATCCAGGCCATTGTCCAACCCCTGTTCAAACCCCCTGTGCCTCTTCTTTGTCCTCGTCCCAAAAGGCCTCCAGAAGCGTGAAGGTGCTGCGTGATCCAAGAAGAGCTACGTGGCATGTTGATGACCATGCACACCTCCCCCACCATACTCACATGTTTGCTAGAGGCAGAGTTTTGAGATCAGATGGTGTTCCTACACATGCAAAACTCCTCTTCTTGAAAACTTCTAACCATATGTTATGTTGTATAGTTGGAATCAGTAAAGTAGCCCGGACTCGCTCTTGCCAGTTCTGGTGTTTTGTTTGAGACATCTCCGGAGGCTCGGCCTACACAAGCCTCAAAAACTGCCAAAGAAGTGGATTGAGAGTAGATGGCACAGTCTCCAAAAGGCGGTTTAGATGGGAGTTGTGCCATCCATCTACTTTGAATTCTCACAAAATCCCCATCTTTCTCCCTTGAAAGCAGCGCCGGAATGGGGAATGGTGCTTCTGACCACCTTCTTCACCTTTCGTCTGACCTCGTGAGGTTTCGTCTGACCTCGTCCGCTCCTTGGAACCGAGGGAAGAGGGCTTAGACTCGACTGACCCTCCGCTGGGTCGGTGAAGATCAAACCACCAACTCAGGCTGTTGACCCAACACCAAAGACGGTCGTCCTTGATGCGTGAGCCAACAGTGACCAGTTCACGAGGGCTTGTTGAAGATGGCCTCGAGACTGCGGAATTCCATCGGACTGCGAGGTCCGGGAAACCACATATGGCCTATGTTTGAGGTGACCTTCCAGTTGTGCTTAGCTTCGGTGGCAAAAACCTGGAGTTCGACGTTGCATAGGGTTGCATCTGGTTGCCATGGTTTCCAGGCAACGCTCAGACTCCCCATCATCCACCCCAAAAGCGCCCAAAAGACCTCCCGCGCGAATGCTGGCGCGCTTTTGCTGGCGCGCGCGTGCGAACAAGGCCTTGATGCCCGAGTAGATGAGTAGCACGCCGAAGACCAACCTCGAGACGAAGCCCATGGCCAGAAGCGACGTGCCCACCTCAGTAGGCGGACGGCGGTGCCCGGCGGAACTGGACGGCGGACGGCGGAACTGGACGGCGATCGGGTCGTGGGGAGGCGATTTGGGGCAAATCGGATCTAAAATTGGATCTATTTGGGGTTGATCGGGTTGATCTCGTGCCTATAGACTGATAGACTAAGACATCGTTGACTTGGAGCACCCAAGGAAAAGAAGTTCTTCATCAGAGGTTCATCTGTTGGGTAAAACGTCGACCTGACTCTTTGGCTACCTCCTCTTCGACACTTCCACATGAAAATCTGTTCATTCATCGCTGGCGCCACGTTCGATCCTTTCGCACCCAATTCGAAGTAAAGGCATGGACATCCACTAAAAAAACATGAGCAATCCATGACGTTTTCTTATTTCATCATATGACATATTATTTCTATGGTTTTTCCTGTAAACAGCTCCCAGTTTCATGCCTCCCACCGCCTCACACCGATCACCGAGCCGCCCCGAAGAAGCCCAGGCGGAGCAAGATGGCCGCAGCGATGCCCCAGAAGAGCGCGCGCTCCACGTGAGACTCTGGGGTGGCATAGGACTTGAAGACCAGCTGAAAGACAAACCTGGAGGGGCTCAGAATGGGTGGGCCACCCAAAGTTCAGAGGCTTTTGCAGCTTTGCAACGTAATGCAAGATGGAACCCTTTTAATAAACAAATGCCTGGTGGAGACTAGTACGACCTCACCAGGCAAAGGCTCAAAGATGGGAGCCTCTCACGTGCAGGACACGAAGTAGTTGTGGGGCTTTCCAAGTCGCTAGGTGCGCGGGACAGGGAAGTGGCTGGGTTTCCGACAAAAGAACATCAAAGATCAGTTCTGGCGCCATCTTGGCTCCACTTTGTTCGCTGTTTGAAGGAGGAATCCATCATCAGTCGCAGGGGACGATCCCTTTGACGGTGTCGCTCGCGTTTTCGGCGTTTTCGGCGTTGTCCTGCGTTGCTCGGTGACACGAGCAATGCAATTTTGGCAAGAAAGGGGCAACACATGCCGACGGTCCGTCATTTCTCACATCTCTCTGTTCGCTGCGCAGGGTGAAGGGGAACACTTCATCAAAATGATGGACTCTGAGAGCCTCTCCATACCGAGCATGCTGCAAGAAGCGCTACCACACGTGCTGGTTCGGGGGCCCTCATCATCGAAGCCCGGCTGTGGGGTAGAGATGCGAAGAAACTCTGCAACAAGGAGCAAGTTGTCCACTGACAGCATGTACCTCAGCCACACGACGCGAGTCTGATTCTGACTAATCGCTCGCGAGTGATGGTTCATTCTCCCGGAAGTGATCCTAGTTCTGGTTGGGTGGAAACTGATAGCCCCTTTTTGCAATGATGGTGAAACATTCTGAAACGGTTGGAACGACCCATTTGTGAGACTACTGAAGGGCACTTACCGCCCAGCTGGGCATCATAAGCATCATACCACCACCGCTCCCTAGGCTCACCGACCTCGGGGTGTGAAGGGTCGAGTCGTGCTGATCAAAGCATCTTGGGTGCGCATAGGGCCATAGGGAGACCTCCCAACCAATGGGGTTTTGGCGGCGTTGCGACTGGTCGGAGGTTGGTATTTCACCTCACTGGGACCCCCCCAAATCAAACACCCAACCGATGGGTTTCGCTCTATTGCCCAGGACAGGAGGTCTTTGGGGCCTCTCCGGGTTTCAATACCCAAATCTCCTTCTCTGCGGCATCTGCGGATGACCTTTTTTCGGGCCCCGAGGCCAGCTCTCAGCTACGGGGATCACAGCGGTCCCGGCACAAAAACTGGGTGTTGCTTCAAAGATGCCGAACATCTGCCAGTTGCTGGTCCAATCACGTCTGGCTGAGGTGGGGCTGGTCAATATGGTGCCACAAGTTTGATGTGTCCAGACCGTTGACGGAAGAAATCCTGCACCGCACTCTGTGAGGACGATAGATATATCGAACTCTCGCACTTCTTCTTCAACATTCGAAGGCTGTCTCACATATCTGACATCGCCGGATAGGTCTCAAGGACAAAATCCTGCACCACCTACCTACATGACACAACATTGTATGGGGGTGTGGGCTGCTGGTCTGTGTGGATGAGCTATGCCTCAAAGTGGTGCAGGATGTCTTCTGTCTGGGTGGAAATCCGAGGGTTCGGATAAAGGGAAAAGGCATGATAGGTGATGATCCGGGTATCTTTCCCATGGAATGCTCACAGGGAGGACAAACCTGTATCACAGCTGTTTCACAGGTCCGAAGACCACCACCTACCCGACCTACCATGTCACATGTTGACCAACCCCACGGCAGCAACACTAGAAAGCTTCTTGTTACCAGTAGTAAGACTGCTCCTAGTAGCGAGGCCAGGAGCCCCTAGTAGCGTCCTTGCTCCTAGTAGTAAGGCCAGAAGCGCCTAGTAGCTTATTGTTTCCAAAAACCTTCCCAATGAATCTTCTTGACTTCAGCCAACAAGTAGTGCGCCCCCAGACACCGCCCAGTACCAGTAACAGTCTGTGATCCTCTGAATGCTGAGTCAAGGACTTGTCAGATACAGTCCTCTTCGAGTCTTTGATAGTTGCTGATTGTGAGTTCTTCGCCCGCTCTCTTTTGTCATTCCTTTGGAGTGACTGTAGAACAAAGGAGCGAGGCTCTTGCGGCAAGAGCCGTGAGCCTAGAATCAACAGCTCCGTAACGGCACCTGTCGGCCATCACCGCAGAAGCCATGCGGTCGTTTCGACGGAAAATGGCCATGAAAGCCTGTGTTAAGAGATATCCGTCGGCAAGTGAGCATCATTTGCCAGGCTAAGCATTCATCCAAGAACCAGCTCCAAAAGTTTCCTGAACCTGGGCCAAACATCTTCCGAAAGTTTGTGACCTTCCGAATTCGCATTGAAAATTGCCAGGAAACTTCACTGGGTAAGGTTCGACAGGGGTGGCATCAGTTCATACATCTCCAAGGGCTTGGCTTGGTCTTCCAATGTAAATCCTTAAAAACACACACCTCGACTTTCTCTTTTTGCCACCCTGTGTTCAAAAGCCCGTTGCGGATCCACCCACGGCTTGTGAGGGTTAGGCGGAGGCACAGAGAGAGGTGTCCATTACACGTCCAATACAGTAAGTGGAACCTCAATTCAAACCAGTTTCAAGATGTTTCAAGTGCCTTGCGATGCTTGGCTGAAAGCATTTCGATGTGGCTAGAATCTGAATTTTCTCCAAACCTCAACCAGTCTCACTTGCTTGGGACTGGGGTTCCAGGACATGGCCTTTTTGCCTTGCATCCCTTGCTGTATGGACAAGTTCTATGGTACATTCCATTACATTCTGGGCATCAGTGTACATGTGGACACCAAAACACGTGGGCGATCCACCTTGACGCGGGCGATGGTAACCATTGCCCGAGTGGGCTGGATACACCTAGATCACCAGTCAAGTTGTCTTCTTGCTTCGAACTGGAATCGCGATGATGGCATGAGTTGACTCATGGTCGACTTCTTTTCTGGCTTTGGCGCGGAGATTGACATCTGGAAAGCATTGTATTTGGAGGACACGGTTGGACGTGAGATTGGTTGGTTCATGGCTTGCAGAATGATTTGAAAACCCACTTAAAGCCCTTTCCTATTCTAGTTCGAAAAGAACCAAGAACGCCGGTGGTGTTGGAAATCACTGGTGATCCAGGCCAAATCATTAAGAATTGTGTTCCAATTCTCCAAGGACTTTCGAAAACAGACCGTCTTGTCCCTCCACCCCTGCTTCTGACCGACGGAAGAAGAGGCTTCCCGTTCTTGGGACTTCTCAGGCTGCACAGCAAGTGATCCTTTTCTTGGTGCGATCATTCCATCAGGTCCTCCTCCCAACGACCATCTGGAACCAGCCCTGCTCCCTCTCTGCACGCCGCAAGAATCGACGCAGCTTCTTCGAGTTCCTCTCATGGTCCACGCGGCCGGTGGGCAACGCCACACCCCTCGGGTGGGTGCCATCCGGCCACTCGAAGGAGTTGAACACTCCTTGGAAGAAACCAACAGAGGTGGGTCAGAACCCGAACTAGACTATCCCAGTTCGGTACCCCGGTAAAGTCCTATAAGGTCACTTAACCTCTGTTGGAGGTTTCAGGAACCTACCATGTCTTGAAGCTTTTTGGAAACGAAGATAATTTCTCTTAATCAGTGTGTCTTTCTAGTGTGCCACAGATTGAGCGGAGGTTGCAGGGGTCAAGACGTCTCGACTGTTAAGAGATCAAGATACACTCCAACCCAGTACAAAATAGTTGAGTCAGCTTGTTTCCTGCAGAATGCTGAGCTATATGGCTAACAAATAACTTAAACGACACTTATAATATATTGATATAACATATATTATACTATCCTGTTGTTTGTTGTTGATATATTCTTTTATACTCAATATGTTTTGGTATACACATATATATATATAAATGTTTTACCACCTGCGTGCTTGGTGCTGAAAAGATTAACAATCAAGCTGCCCAGTTTGGAGTCATCGAACTCGATCTTCTCCGACGCTTCGGCAGCTCCGGGTGGCTTCATCTTCACCAAAGAGGTGCTCTTGGTGCTTTCAGCCGCCAGTGGATGCGCGTCCGCAAAGTTCACGTGCTTCTCCGCGGTGCCGCTGGTTCGTCGCCGTGTACCGACCTCGTCGTCCTCGTCCTCGTCGTCGCAGGGCACCACCTGCTTCAGGGCCGCTTCGGCCGCTGTCTCCGCGCTGCCCACAGGTCGGCTGACAGCGGCCGCACAGCCCATGGCACCGCGGGACGCGGAGCCTCGTTTTGGGGTCCCGCCTCTGGTCACCGGGTCAGCCGAAACACGGGGAGCTGGCAGGATCGACCCATGCGACCCAAGGCGGACAAAACTGCCTGGGGTTCAATTCCATAGTTTCTTGCTCCTAGTAGTAAAGCCAGGAGCCCCTAGTAGCATCCTTGCTCCTAGTAGCGATACCAGGAGCCCCTAGTAGCGTCCTTGCTCCTAGTAGTTCAATTCCACTTGGTGTGTTTCTACCAAAAAACTGAAGACCCAGGACCCACAGGGGTGGTCTATGGAATCCACAGTGGAGACAGCCCTGAAGGGTTGGAGATCCGCAGTCCAAAACGAAGCGGATCCTTCGGAAAACAGGTCTTAATGATGCATAAATACCAGGGCCCCCGGATAGGGGTGGTTCATGGACACCCCGAATCAGACCGTGGGTCTATCAGTTCCCCGACCAGTCGCCGGGAACGAGGTCGAAACCGCCGTATCCTTCCGTTCCATCCATGTATCAGACCAGCTATCAATGGTTTCTCTCTATCATTCCTGAGTTGTATTAATATGTTCGGTTCCGCCCCAAACTCTCCCAAGAATCTCCTCCTGCCCGGTCCCATGGCTCTTCGTCTCCAAATTGCTCCAGGAAATAGCCATAGCTCCAGCTGGCGCCCGCGGACCAACCCAGCAGGAGGACGACCCAGCCACCGAAAAGGATTCCCACCAGGACCCACCACACAATCTGCCTGGAGCAGGCCACGGACGGCCACGCGAACCGAGTCCGTGCAGACCGCGACCGGTGGAGAGACGGCTGTTGAGACGAAAAACGGCTGTTGAGTCCGGCGAAGAAGACGCATCATTCGTCTCATCCGAAGAGAAGAGAGCCCTTGGTGCCGGGGGGGATGGTTGGCTTCGCGACACGCAGCGCCTCCCTTCTGGCGAACGAACATGGGACCTGGGGCAGACTTTGAGTTACATGAATGTAGGAAACGTGGCAAAAGACTCAAGACAGCTTGCAAGAAGGAGCTATAAATGACACATCAAGCATCCCGGGGCGAAGCTGCACAGACATCGAGTTGTCTCGGCCATACCACCGAGGAGCGAAACGAGGACGTCACATGCCGACCTCGATCGAGGTCGGCGTGTTTGCGGTGCGTCGAAGCGTCTCGTGAATCGGGGGGTGATTCCTGCCATCGATTGAAGCGAAGCCAAGTGCCCTGTTGATGTTGGTAGGATGTCAAGCAGGCATACGAAGCCCAGCAGGCGAGAGCAAGAGAGAGATGGTGGATGGCCACGTGGTCCAAATATGGACAAGAACTCAGCCAGCTCGGCCATCCAACCCACAAATCAAACAGCTTAACTATCTATGATTGGTTCACACGTCACTGCCGGATGGCTCAATGTCAAATATCTGGGAAAATGCAAATGCTAGTTGTGGAAGCTCTGTTCCAACATGTGCACCATGGGCGTGAGTGCATTTGGATGGCACTTGGCCAGGTGACCCAGCTTAGGGACATTATATTCAATCTTGTACAAATGAGAGCATTTGCATGCACCCCAGTCTGGACAGATGATGTTGCAGTTCTTCTTGCTTCTCACGTCATTCAGTTGATTGAGTTAGGTGGGAGTAACCGCATGCAGCTGGCCCAGCTGCAGCTTTTTCACTTGCAGCGCTTGGAGTTGAGCTGAACTTAGGAGCTCAGGAGCTGAACGGAGGGTTTTCAGCTTTCTCCCAATGGCCAAGCGGCAAAAGTGTACAAGGAGTATGGATCATTGCGCACGTGCTCCGCAAGCAGGACGCGGACGCAGGGACGCGGCCGAGGACGGGCGCCACGAAACGGCTGAAAGTGCCTCAGTGGCGTGGAATCGGCCGTGCGCTCCCTTCGGCGCAAAGCTGTGCCAAACAACTGTGACATTCCTCAAGGTGTTTTTTTTCTTGCACATGTTTGATGCTATGATCCAATCAAAACTGTCTCATCATGCTGCCTGTTGGTCTCTTGTTACCCAACAAGAGACCCACACCACCTCGAGACAGTGGTGTTTCGTTTCTTCAACTTGCACACTGCCATTGGTGGATGGACGGTTTCAAGTGATGACATGTTGTGCCAGTTGGGTCTCCAAACGACCCACGGGAAGACCCCTGCGAAAAGAAAGGCTACGCCAACGGCAAAAACTTTGTTATTTTGCAGATCAGGATAATTGGGCATTGCTCTTTGCGGAGCAGAATTGGCTTGAATTACAGTAGTGTATGCTGATTTGTGGCTCCATGATGTCCGGCTGTGTCCAGATTGGCTGCAAGAGCTTTGATAGTGTTCAATGGGTTGTTCCAAAGCTTCAAAAACAGAGAGAAAGAATGGAAGGGTCTCTTAAAGCAGGTCGGAAAAGCATGTCTTGCGCACATGCATCGTCTAAGGCGGTTTTTAAGGCATTTAAGTACACAGGCATAGACAGCGAGCGAACTGCTGGGAAGAATACAATTTTGCTGTTGGAGACACATGTCCTGTCCGTCTCAAATTTCAGGGCGACAGCGAGGCGCTTCAACAGCATGTCCGTTACCAGAGAAGCAAATGGGCCACCTTATTGGTCAGCGGTATCAGCGCAAAGGAGATGGGCGGAGAAAGGATTCCAAGGAATATTGAAATTCCATGAGATGACGCCATTGGCCGGCGTCAAATGTGCTAACCCCATTCCATGGTGGGCTGCACTTCGCCCTGGTCTTCCTTTGGAAGACAACGCCAATGCCGATGCCTCAGCATTAGTTCAAACCACTGCCCAGTATTTGTCGAGTCAAATTTCCACTTCTGGGGATCTTGCACAGTCCGTTAAGGAAATGTTTATATACCTTTCTCTTGAGCACATTTGGTATACAAATCCGTTCTGGTTGCGGAAGGAATGCGGCAGATGGCTGGAGCGGCTCTTTGCAAATGCACGGAAGAAAACTCAGCACAGGGCACTGGCTAGGTCGCGCTATGGAGACCACGTTGTCCATCATACAGTGGTATGAAAGAAGGACGAGCACGGCTGTTCTTCCAGACCCAAATGGACCAGGACTTGGTGGAGGGGCAGCTACTGGTATCTAGAAAGGACAGGTGACCGGCGGGAAGAAGACTTGGATGGCTTGGGAATTCGTCCTCAATCCACGAAATCGTCGAGACCAAAGCCTGGTGAATGGACGTCCGGGACCGGGACGGGGAACATGGGTCGCTTCCCGGGTGTGTTTTGCACCCGACTTCAATCAACAGCTGTCTTTCGAGGTTGAAAAAGTTTCTGAAACTACCAACCATTGATTATATAATTGCCCTTATTATTTGTGGAGAGCGGGTGGTCATGGGGCCTGGGTTTTGGCTTTCCCCAAATTTTAGGTAAATGCTTCAGTGGCAGCCCCTCTCCATGTAAACACACATATCTATTCTTGCTCTCACTCTATACGAACAAATATATTATAGTCTTGTACAATTGTAAGTGGCTCTTATCCAATTTGGATGTGGCACTTTGGCTCCCAGTATGTATGGGTGCGCATTCATTTCATTGTGGTTGAAAGAGCTTCCACATGATTCAAGGGAGTTATCACAATCTACATGTAAACAGCTGTAAACACTATTACTTTTTTACTCCACCTGCCTTGCAATGACCTCGTCGGAGTCATCATCGAGCGACGTGTCCGAAGAGGACTGTAGTTTGCTGTTTCTTGGGATGTTGGGCTGTGAGGGGGTTCAGTGGTGGATCTCTTTGACAGTTCTCTCCAGGAACCTGGGCTCAATGCTATGGCCATGGCCTACCTGGATGAAGTCGGGTCCACTTTTCTGCGCAGTTGTGGATTCTAGGACGCAGCGCGCGGGACAGGTTTTGGTAGCATTGATTTGCTAGTAGGGTCGGGTGTGTTCCTTTTTAACTGATTTCTGAGGACTCACCCGATGGTTCAACAGCTGGCCTGATGGGGCGTTGACCTTTGCATCAGATTGTGCCAAAGCTGCAACATCACTGTTCCGAATCGTGGTTTGGGACAAGTACCATGAAGTACCCAAAGAATCCCAAATGTTGCATGTCTGGGTTCATGTCTCCTTGTAAGAAACCAGCGGCGCCAAACAAGGCAGTGGCGCTGACACACCTTTTATGGGCCTGCAAATGCTGTGCGACGCTGCCAAGAAGAAAGATCGTCTTGTCCACTTGCCGCTCGCCAGGAAGGGCTGACATGAAGTTTCTTGAACACATGACCTCCGTCAAACAACTCATCTGCATGCTTTGGGGGGTTGATGGGGGTTGCCGATGACAGCTTGTGTGGAATCTATCTAAGGGCGGCCTCAGAAATCCACGAGAAGAAGAGAGAGTTTCTGAAGAGAAACTTCAATGTCCACCAGTTGCTCGCCATGTCAAGTCTCAAGTGACTTCTGGATGGGAACATATTTAATGTTTGTTTGATTTTGTTTACATTCACGTTCATGGAATCAGGCTCACTGCAACAGTGCTGAAGCAAGACAACAAACCGCTAGAAGACAAGGTTCAGGGTGAGTCATGCAGTGAAACCCGATCACCAATCCTGGAAACCGTGTCCGAACCATGCGGGAGGTCAGCATATATTGCGCAGGGTTCCCCTGCACGCCTTTCTCATCCTTGGGAAGCCTTGGTCGCCTTGATGACCCAAACTCCAGGCAGTTGTTTGCGTGCGTGAAGAGGGTGAAGTCTACTCGTCCAAAAGCCCCTCAACAATGTTTATGTTTTGAGCGTTCTGGCATGCATGTTGCTCCCTGGCCTTACCATGTCCACCTCAACCAAGGTAGTTGTTCTCGAGAACGTTCTTGGCTTCCAAGCTGTTGCGGAGCCGGTGGGACGCTTCATCGACCGGAACTGTCCAGGGCACTTTGGCTTAGTTATGGGAAACTACACAGTTGTATCTGCCCAGTGGGCATGTATCCTTTATTGTTGAGGTACAGGATGGTCTACGTCATTGTCAATCCGTGCCTCTTCTGCAACATGTGACATGTTACATGTTGGGTTGAGGAGTTGAGGATGATGGGAATTGATGATATCTTTGAGGATGATGGAGGTGTTTGACATGTTTTCATGAAACCCCAGGACACGGTATGGAGCACCAACGAGCCGCAAGCGTATCTACCTCATCATGGTTCAGGAGGCGGTCATGACTGAAGGTGCGAAGAAGCAGGACTTTGGGGGCTTCATCAAGGACAAGATGGACAAAATGAAGACCAATGAGAAGAGACAGTGGTCCCTAACCTAATTGTTATTTTTTTCCTGAGATACTTGCTAGCGTTGCTAGCCTGCCAGCCGAACACCGTGCCAAGGATTGATTTGCTGCTTTCTGGAGATCATCCAGCTGTGGTCCGGGACATGCAAAAGAAGGAGAAACTAAGGCTGAGATCTGGATCGAAGTTCCTTGGACCCAAGTTCTGGATGTAATTCACTCTCACATAGCATTGCATCCAAACTCTTCTTTTGCAAGGAAGCCCAACCCCCAATCCAAATGGGTGACAATGCATCGTGATTGGGCCAAAACAAACAAGGTGGGGATTTACAATGTAATGCAATACAATGCCATAACAATGCAATACAGCAATACATACTATGGCATGTTTCTTGGGTTGCATGGTGTTTCAAAAGCCTGGCCGCAGGTCAGCGTCAGGAAGGTGAACAAGGAGAAGTTGTTTGCCAAGAAGTATCCAAAGGCTGCCAAGCAGATTACAAGTCACCGAGAGATGGAGGCTGGTTGGCTTACCATGTTGCCTTTCAG